TGTCTAAGATATCCTCACTTTAAGATCTTTAACCAATTATTTCTTAATATATAGAACAAGATCATATTATGCATCCTATATCATGTCATATATATTATGCTACATTATATATATATATCTATATATATATTATTACAATGAATGTTGTATAGAGAGAAGAAAATCAATTTGTCATACCCTAGTTTGAAAAGGATGGATTTGGGGGGGAAAACAGATACAATATCATATTTCCACAAGAGGTGGCAAGTAACAATAATCCTAGCACTTGAGAGCCTGAGTTAGGAGAATCATGCATGTGCCTGAACTACATAATGAAATCCTGCCTCCAACAAACAGAAAAACAGGGATTGATAAACAACTATTATTAAAATGTGTAAGTGCAATAAATAAACTATAAGGGAAGATATAGAAAAATTATAACTGCTGTTAAAAATGTGTTTGAAAATTACATATAAATGAATGCATGACAGGTAATTTAATTCCAGATCAGCAAAGACAAATTTCTTTTGCTGTTTAATGAGTGCTTCTCAATAGGAGGCAGGTGCTCAAAAGGGGTGGGGAGGGATTCAGGGGAAAGGGACAGAGGAATGAAGAGGAGAAGCGGGAGAATGCAGTCAAAATTAAGAAGACAGCATATAAAATGGGATATGATTTTTTTTCCAGCGACATATCAGACAATGGCCTACTATCTGGAATATACAGAGAACTTTAAAAAATTAAAACCTCAGTAACACTAAAAACCCAATTAACAAATGGGCTATGAAGCTAGAGTCTTCTCAGAAGAAGTAAAAATGGCCAATAGACACATGAAGAAAAGTTCAACATCTCTGGCCCTAAAGAAAATTCAAATATTGGGATTCCACCTCATCCCAATTAGAAAGGTCATTATCAAAGAAAACAAATGTGAACAAGATGCTGGTGGAGATAAAGGAGCAAAAGGAAATCCTAAAACACTGTTGGTGGGAAAGTAAACTCATTCAACCACTCTGAAAAGCAATGTGGAAGTTCCTCAGAAAACTAAACATCAAACAACCCCATGATTCAGCGATTCCACTCCTGGTCATTCGCCCAAAAGATTACAAACCAGGATACAGTAAAGCCACCAGCACAACCATACTTGACATAGTCAAGTATCATCCCAGATGCTTCCTCAATGGAAATATAGATTAAGAAAATGTGGCATACAAAAACGCATCTGTTAGAAAGAATGATGGGGTTTGCATCATTTGTAAAGAAATGGAAAGACCTGGAAAACACTGTTAAATAAGTCAGGCCAGAGAGACAAAAGATGGATGTTTACCCTTATCTGTGGAAGCTAGATTTAGCTTATAAACTTACAAGTAAATATGTTGGGTGGTATGCAAGTATATACAAATGTATTAACTAAAATACAGTAGACTCAAGGAAGGACTCGAATAGTGTGATTCCTTAGAAAGCCAATCAGAGTTCAGCAAAATATAACACCAGATATCAGGTACTTGGAAGGGGTGGGGAAGGGTCAGGGGGAAAGGAGAGGACAAAGAGTTGAGAAGAAAGGGAGAATGAAGTCAAGAATTCAAAGCATATCCTATAAAATTAAGACGAGTTAAGGAAGGGGTGGGGGAGAAATGGGTGAGAATTTTGAAAGGGGTACCTTTGATCCAGAAATATTGTATTCATAAACTGCTTTGTTAACTGGCACCTCCTTCTTACAACTAATTACAGATAATATTTAAAAATCACAAAAACAAAAGTAAAGAAAAGGGTAGGTTGGGAGGGGTGAGTGAGATTGTGGAAAGAGGTTGGTAGGAATCAAGATGCCCGGTATTTGAAAACTGCTTTGGTACATGACAGGTCCTTTGTACCAGTAAAGACAATTTAAAATAAGAAAAGAGGAAGGAGCACTTGGGAAGGAGCACAGGCTAACTGTGGAGAAAAGCAGAAAGGAAAAGGGAATCTGTCCTCTGCTGAAGCCGAAGCCACAAGAAGTTTGGTTTACTATGGCATATTTCTGGCTTTTCCTTTTTCCCTTTTTGATGCTGGAGCCTGAAACCAAGGCCTTATGCATGACAGCCAACTTTCTATGCCAGAGCTCCACCCTTCGCAGAGTTCTGGCCTATTGTCAGCTAGTGGGTTGTAGTGAATGCAAAATTCAACAAGAAAATAAGAAAAATCACACGATACGCTTACTTTGGAAAATGCTGGAGACACTTTCAATAGTGGAGAAATGATCTCCTATTTCACAAGAGCTGTGGTATGTTTTCTTCCCCCAAATCATGCTTTTGCCATCTCCTAGGAAAAGAAAAGAGCAACATGCAGATACTGCTCCAGCATTTTGGATGCATTACGGATTGTGCAACAGTTGACCGAGACCACGCCCATGTCCCAGGCATGAGCTCCCCACACCTTCCTGCATACTGCCCCACACCACCTTCACACGGATTCCTGTAGGATCCACTCCCAGTCTCTGGCCAGCTCCACAGGCTAGAGTCCTAGTTACTCCTGGATTCTGTGCTCTCCATAAAATCCCTCCATAGCTGTCCCTTGCCTCCCCCCCAACTCCACCCAAGGGTTCATCCATTTATCTGTCTGCAAATGTCCACTCAGGGCCTGCCAAGCTTCTCAGTGACAGCTTCCGCAGATGCTCCAGGGGCAACTCACCATGCAGCTGCCGACTGCTTCTCTGAGTTCCCTCAGCACACCAGCACATGTGCAATGCACACTGCAGATTCCACCCAAGTCCCTGCAGACCTGGCTCATCCCACGCTAATAACAGATCCAGGTGTTCCAGAAATGCTTATGTGGCAAAACTAGTCATTCAAAAGTGAGCCTGCATGCGGGCTCCATTGTTATCATATTGGAAAAGATTTTATAAATAATAATTAAAGATGTTTCTAGCTCATTTCCTTACTAGAAATGGTTTTTGGGGGTTTTTTTTGGCATTTAAGGCAGCTTGAGTTTTGGCTTCTGTCATTTTCAACTGAAAAGTTATTTCTGTCATCAGAGTTTGTGTAACACAACATCAAAGAATTTTAGTTATCTTAAAGCAGTGAATTCAAGTCTCTAAATATATCACCACTTTTGTTGAGCTTAGTGGTGCTGTAGCTCAAGTGGTAGAGCACTCGCCTTGAGCTGAAGAGCTGAGGGACAGCGCCCAGGGCCAGAGTTCAAGCCCCATGACCCACAAAAAAACAAAAAACAAAAAAAAACAACCAGTGACACTTTTGTTGAGCTCCTTTGCAATTACTTTTTGGGTGGGACATTTTGTTGAGCAGAAATGTATGCCAACATTGTTGTAAATAAATGTGTGTACAGGGGTGTGCACACACACACACACACCCCACACGCCCGTGTTAGGACACAGGGGCTATGCAGATGATCAAAGGATACACCGGATCTGACAGAAGTCCCGGCCAGAGAACAAGGTCATTGAAGGATTGTCCAAGGTCCTCTCCTTTCCAGATGCCTTGATCCCCTGCACCCCAGGAAGATTCTAGAAAGAGGCCTTCTAACACTTTCTCCTTTTGATTCCCAAGTGAGTTGACATAGAGATGCATTCTAATTCCAGTGACAGGACTGCTAGGAGTCTGCACTGGGTCTACAGTCTGTGTAGCCCAGCATTTTTAACACAATACTCCCTCATGTAGTATCAGTAGTAACCGGAAGTATTCTCCTTTAGATGATCCACTATCATGATTCATCTTACAGATTCAACTGTCCACATTTCTCACCCAGATTATGTCCATTAACACCAGCTTAAAACAAGCCTGCGAATAGAAAGAATACTGAATAGTCTCACTTCCTGCTTAGGCCCCTAAATAATGTCTGAATTTTCCTTCTTTCATGATGTCATGAGTTTTTCCTCATAGTTTCAAAACTGGTGCATTCCTGTCATTTGTAATTTTTAACTGGGAACATTATTTCAAGTACTAGAACTTGCTAGAGGGGAATACTAATGCTCACTATAAATTGTTCTATTACTTTTCTATTGTTTTCATAAATTAGAGTATTAAGCATTGTATTCGCAGTGATGTTTCAATCTAGTTGATAGTTACTTCTGTGGCCCAGCCTGTTCCAGTCATGCTTCCAAGGAAATCAGGACCACCTGCCTCTTCACGTCCTGTCACTGTCCATCAAAATGCACTGATCACCTCCAGCTGCTGAGTGAAAAAGGCAAAAAAAAAAATCCCAGGTAACACTAGATAACATGTTTCTTGGGAATCAATAGCTTCATTTCTCTTTTTCCTATTTAATTAAAAAAAATACCGACCTCTCATCCATCTAGGAAAAGAGAAAGACTTCACTGCTGTTGGAAATATTTCCCAAGGCTTCATTAAACAGAGTAATAAGATTAGTGTTTAAAATGATTAAGAGGGTGTCTAAGCTTTTACCCAAAGAAAATCTAATTAAGATGGTGATTATGTGTTTTAAAATACTAGTACTTTGCCAAGTTAATTGTGATAGGTCTGTTAGAGAACTATGCAAATATGAGGCAGTTTAACTTTAAAAAAATAAGAATATAACATGTACATTGTGCAACATTTGGGTTAAGTATCTGGTGAAACCATCTTCCTGTGTTTACGTTGTCTTTTTGGAAGCTCTCAGGATGCTTCTGAGTTTAGACAGTAGGTCATAATACCTAGAATTGCCTTCTTAGTATAGGGCACTTTTCACCACTGTATAAAGCCTCCTTGAGACTGTCAACCAGCATGAAGCAGGAGAGACTCACCACCCCGCATCCGGGAACATGGGATGTTGTGCCTTGGGCACGCCCTGTAAAGCCTGCCCACGACATTTTCAATTGCCCCATTCAGACTGTCTGAAAAATTACACGTGCAGCAAAACATTTGATCAAAAATATATTTAAAATAAGCAAGAAAAAAATATTCGGGGCCTCGAGGGACACTTCCATCATTGTTAACTATATAGAATTAAACTATATGCATTAGGATTTCAAGGACTAACTTATAAAGGATGTGCGAAGTCAGAAAACAGAACAAGACGACGCTTGGTTTTTTCAGAAAATGTATTTGCAATTCAAATGTTCATATAAAAAGCATAAATTTTAAAAAGTTCATAGGTGTGTGTGTGTGTTTAGAAGTGCTGTGGCTTTGCCATTCATTGCAATTACATTCCAAATTGTGCGGGGCGGGCCCCGCTGCGTCGCTGCACCTGCCCGTCACACTGAGGTCACCCTCATCACAACCTCCCCGGAGCTGCTGTCCTCTGACAGATCCTCGTGGGGCCTCATCCGGTTGAAAAGATGCAGCAGCACATAGCCGCACTGAAACCTCGGCGAGGTGAGCTGCATTGGGTGGACAGAGTTCCTGTTTCTCAGAGCGGTCAATGGTAACCATAAAGTCCTGCTTGTGGACGACTCTTCTCGGCTACTTTCTTCGATGTCTGTGGCTTTGTCATAATTTAATACATCCCAGTGCAAATTGACAGCTCTCCAGCGTTTAAACACTCTGTAAACTGCAGCTCCTTCGTGGACGATGAGACCTAAATTCAAGGAGAAAAACACTAGTGACCAAAGCTGGGAATGTTATTTTGCATAGCAGCACGACATTCAAGAAGTCATTTATTCTGTTGTTTATTGACATCAAAGAGTGCAGGATTCAGAGTTCTCAAATGCTCCAGTCAGCTCGGAGGAGTATTTACAGAGGGAAAGTTCCCTAACAGGTAGACAGTTAAGCTGTCTTGAATGTGATTCGCTTGCTCTATCATGGCTCAGACTATCCCTTGGGTATTTTGAAAGATTTATGTATTTCATTCAATTCTCACCACTGCCTTAGGAAGTGAATACTGGCATTTCCCTCACTTTACCAACAAGGAAACCAAGCCACAGGGATGTTAAAGAATTTGCACAAGAATCTACAACCAGGAGCGGTAGGGCAGGAATGTAACCCAGGCAGGCTGGCCCTGAGCTCTTGAATCCAGGCATATGGTTCTCAGAGTCTTAGGAAACCTGGAGAATGCAAAGAGCCAGATCCTAAGTCAGATTAAATACACTGATGCCCAGATCCAGCCTCACTGCCCCCTCCACACCCTCACTCATCCTTTGTTTTTTCCTCAGTTTACATTTCAGCATAGAGATCCACTTTTGAAATTGGGACCACTCATAGGATAAAGGAGGTCCATGGGGAAAAAGGTCCTTTTAGGTGTAGACATAAAGATGATTTCCACTCTCTGAGGGACCCGAATTATGAAAAATCAGAGCAGAGTCCTTGTTAAGTGGTGGAGTACGCCAGTTGGTAGAACGATTTGTCCAATGATGAGTTGGGAGAATGACCTATCCTCTACTCCCAGAACTGAGACATTTGGACACAGGTCCTAGACAAACTCTTCTAAATGAAAGCAGGGGAAACACATGTGTTTATTGACTAATGAGTTGTACTTGAAGACTATCTCAAGCCATCTCAGCCTCCATCCTCAGAAGAATAGGATAGAAGGGAACAAAGTCACACACATTGTCATGGGTAAATCTTGCAACCACAGTGAACAATCTCAGACCCACCACGAAAACTTCCGAAAGAAATATGTGGAGTAAAAAGTACCACACATTTTACTAGGCACACATAGATATGGTAAAGGTATGAAGGTGAGAATAATACCCACTATGTCCACTAAGGTGAGGAGGGGAGGCAGTGACTGAGGGAAGGCGCTTCACTTGGTCTTCGCTGCAAAAAATCAAATGTATTTTTTTAACCAGACAATGGGGACGTGAATGTTATGCAGCCAAAATTTCCCAAGTCACCTAATTTATTAGAAAACTTAATCTGAGATGGGACGGGGGAGTTGGGGACAACAAAGTGGCAGTGAAACTCAGGAAAACGGGACAGGAACTACAATGAAAGAAAGGGGTGCGCTCAGAGTCTCCCATTCTTCTTGGGGAAGGAGGAAAGGATAACTGAAGCACTGGTAGTGATTTCTCATGGGGACGAGGAAGGTTTCGAGTGCGATTTTGTTGAGATTGCTTTTATTATATTTTTGCTAGGTAGGTCCCTGAAAATCAGAATTTTTATCTATTTACATTGTCCCCTTAGCAGGAGATAAATTTTTGATGCATGTAACTTAAAAGCATCCAAAGATATATAGCAGCCTACTAAAAAGTGCATATGGCTTTTCAAGTAAAAATGTTCTTGACCTCAACTATTGTACATTGCCAAAATAATGAGGAGAAATGTAAAATTTCAGCTAATCATAACAATGCCAAAATATTGCTTTAGACACTTCCTTTTCCAGAGGAAAAATCCAAGTTAACCCAGCCAACTACATGTCTTCAGGAAGCAGCCAGAATTACAAGCCAAGATCACTAGAGCTTAACTGGTTCCTCATGGCCCATGATTTAACCTTTCTGGTTCTGTATGTTCTCCTTCAAATGCAACTGACACACCCCCTTTTTACATTCAGTGGGAGATACGTTGGAATTCATCAACTATAAAGCACTCAAATTTCCTCTGAGATGGTAACGACATGGGAATCAGATTTTTATTAACTAAAAAGTCGATAATAAATATATGAGGTGAGAAACATGCTTTTATACTAATCTCCAAGCAACTACAGCCTGCGACAGGGTCACTCGCAGCGATGTGTGGCCGGGCAGGGAGTGGGCTCACCAGGGCATACTACTAATTTTGACAAATATTATTCTCTCCTTAAAAAATCAAATGTCTTTGAAAGGCCAGAAATCAGACCTAAAGTCACTTTCTGGAAATACATTCTGTAAATCTTTTGTAAGTACATAAATTTACCAAATGTGAAGAAATGGGAAATTTATTGCTCACTGAAGATTTCAAAAATTCAGTAATAAAATCATCAGTTAAAACTCTAGTCATCTTAGATAGGCATTGGTGGCAACTAAAGGAGGCAAAGACCTGGAGTATTGAGCTCTGAAGATATTTTGAGCTATTTGGGAGATTCTACTAGCGAAAAGCCAGTGTGGATCAAGGAGTAGAGCACTAGACCAGCACGTGGGAGGCTGAGTTCAAACTCTATTACTATGAGTAAACAAATATCTGTTGATTTAGACCTGTAATTCTTGGTGCTTTCTGAACATTATCTGATCAGTTTGGACAACTCTGACTATTCCTTTGGATAAAGGAGTGTCCAATGCATTTAAAAAATATCTTCAGGACTTGGTAAGCTATAGAGAACTAAATGAAATTCTCATGTAGATACAATCCTGTGAACATACAACTACAGGTTTAATGACTCCATGTTTAAGACACAACTGGTATTTACATTATGTTTAATTCCCTGTGAGCATTCAAAATTATTCTTCGGCTTCTGGAAGTTTAAAATTTCCATGAAATTGCTGGGCGCTGGTGGCTCACGCCTGTAATCCTAGCTACTCAGGAGGCTGAGATCTGAGGATCGCGGTTCAAAGCCAGCCCGGGCAGGAGAGACCGTGAGACTCCTATCTCCAATAAACCACCAGAAAACCGGAAGTGGCGCTGTAGCTCAAGTGGTAGAGCGCTCGCCTTGAGCTGAAGAGCTGAGGGACAGCGCCCAGGCCCAGAGTTCAAGCCCCACGACCGACAAAAAAAAAAAAAAAAAAAAAATTCCATGAAATATAATTAACTCCTTCCCACCCTAAGGATGTTTCTTCTCTAAATGTTCTGGAGATGTGCCCAAAGCCTTGTTTGCTGGTGGTAATATAAGGACATAGCACCTATGATCTTTAAATCCAGGGGTAATGATTCATTCATATTTGATTTATTGTGCTGAAAACCTAGATTTTAGAAACTGTTCTGCTCTGGTTTCTTACTGATAAGCCAACAAATTTGTTACTTGCTTGATATCTCACGACATCTAAGACTTGGCCTGACTTTGTCATCCAAATCAGTAGCCTACAAGGAACAGAGATGACAATGTCTATGACATGTAAACAACATGTGATTTATGGGACTTTGGTGTTTGGAGGAATGGGTGTGTGGGAATGGTTGCTTCCATCTTTTTTTCTTTGCCAGTAATATTTAATTGGAATGCACCCTCATTGGTATGCAAAGGAACAGTTGTGTTAAAGGATAATTTGAAAAACAAAGCAGACTTAAATAGTTTCTGGTTTTGTTGAAATCAAACTTTATATAAGTAGGATATGTTCCAATTTTTGAAGCAATGTGCCAGTTGAAATTTTTTATGGCAACAAGTATGAGCTCATTACCCAAAGCAATGAAGAAGATGATTTTCCAGGCACATCCAAAGTGTTAAAATTAATGAAGACTTGCAAAATTTATGGTCATGTAAGAATTTGTAGTTTGATAGTCCTTACCTATAACATAATTAGTCAATTTCATACAAACAACTAAGTATCTTATGTTACCACTTGCAGCTTTGACTTGAATACTTTTGATTGTTTTTACAAAGATTATGAAAAAGTCATTATGTCAAAAAATGAACTTTACAACTTTGGTGGGGGTGGGGGGTTGGTGTGGGGGTGGGAGAAGGGAAGGGATGGGAAGGGGAAACAAAGGAGGAGGCAACAATGCTTGATAAGAAATGTACTCATTTCCTTGTCCATGTAATTGTAACCCCTCTGTACAGTATTTTCACAATAAAAAAAGAAAGAAAAATTCAACAAAAAAAGATTATGAAAACAACATACATTAAGCTAAACTATCAAAGATCCTAAGAGATTACATGTTCTATTTTCACTTATTTGCACGCATGGTGGAAACACTACAAATAGGTGCTACTATAGAACAAGTGAGGAAATTAAGATCAAGACAGAGAGGTTTCACCATTTCTCTAACATCACAGAGGAGACTAGGACTCAAAGTTATAAATTTTGAATATGACACTCCTGGTCTTACTATGTTTCCAATGTATGTCAGTATGTTCTAGCTGTAAAATGCCCTGTTAAAAAGACATTATTGTGGATGAACTATTGGTGACCCCATTAAATTCATGCAGAACGATCAATTCTCAGTAGAGAGAATTGAGAGAGAAGAGATAAACAAGATCACGAGGGTCAGACTATTATGGTGCCATAAACTGCCTTACAAAAAGAAGACACGCTAGCCTTCCTTTCCCCCATACACACCCAAGTAGGGTGATGTGAGGGCATAATGAGAAGACAACTGTCTTCAAACCAGGGGAAAAGGTGTCATCAGACATCAAATATGTGAACATCCTAGATTTTTGAGCTCTTAGAACCATCAGAAATATTGCTTAAGCCGTCTACTTGCAGTATTTTGTGATGGAAGCCTGTGGTGACTACAGCTGATCTTGTAGATAAACCACAACGCTCTCTCATTTAAACCAGGAGTAAACCCAGTTCTAGAGGCTATGACTGACTTGAGTTATGTAATGAGATGCCATCTTAATATCACGGACACAACACTGTTAAGACTCTTGAAATACTGTGTTCATTAGCCTTTCATCACTATGACAATAAACCTAAGAAAAGGCTTATTTTGGATGGCAGTCACAGAGGCTTCAGTTGATGGTTATCTGGGGCCATAGCTTTGGGCCTGGCAGCTAGGCAAAACATCACAGGG